ATACCTATATAGGTATTACGTATCTTTTTTATTTACTGAAAATTTCGGTAACATTGATAGGTACGCGAACTCCTGTGATCTCACTTATGCAACTTTATAATGGGCTGCCCTGTCTCCAATGGAAAGGTACGCGAACTCCTGTGATCTCACTTATGCATCTCCTGTGGTGAGATGGACAAGAACATAGTTTCTGACATTGGAATCCATATGAATATGAAGGACATTGTATTTAAAATGCATTGTAGATTCCTAAATATACGCGTGGATTAATTCTCGCGTAATTTTGCACGAAGCACCACACGCAAAATAAAATTACTCGCCTTTAATTCAATGATGCTGAAATCTAAGTAAAATCTCTCGACCAACCGACCATTTGCAAATTATTATTCTCGCGATTTGACATCGAAGAGCCTATTTGCGATAATAAGAACTGGCGAAAATATCAGCCCTCTACTATTTATGGAACAAAAGTTGCACTGCATTTTATAACAGACTGTTACATGCTTGTTAATTGCACTTAGATAGCGTAAACACATTCCAAAATGTAAGCTTCCAAATGACCAATATATAGGATTCTCTGATTTTTATACAAAATATAACGCAAATTTGCCAAAACTTATTTATTTTCTTTCAGGGATCATTCATTGTTGTTAGTATAGTAATATTACTCTTTTTTCCTCCATTACTTTTTTAAGAAATGGGTTAAAATGGAATCCACGGGTGTTTTGTCCTACCTTAATACTATACAGGCAGCAGATGTTATGAAAAGAGTTGTTTTCCTGTTGGGAACTAACTAAGCTGCGTGTTGGTAGGAACTGGGCTTGGATTTTAACGTTTATATAGATATTTATCATCCAAAAAAATATTTTAAATGACTAGAAAATTTATTAAAAGTTGTTATATCGAAATGTAATTATCTAAATTAATAGTGTGTAGAGATGTAATGAAGTGCGAGATGATACGAAACCTCGCTCGCACCATTAGCATGCTAGACGTAATCAACACTGGTGTCAGATGTGGAATCTATCGCCTCACTGTGATGAATTAAAAGGGTCCTGTATGTCAAAACTCAATGAAATTAAAGGAAAATATCATCAAAATTAAAAATATGTAACTTTTTAAAGATGTTTCAGTGAGGGATTTTTTTATATCCACAAAATCGATGAACTTTGTGTAAGCCACGTGATAAACTTACATGGAAGTCGGGGTCTTCGTCTCGCCGTATTTCAATAATCCACTCTTTCCGTACAGATGGATCCTTTGGAAAAGAGTGGAAGGATGTTGCTGTACCCCGACGACTGTCTTCATTACAAAGCGGCACACAACAATAAGCCGCGGAGCCCGTTTTCGCATGGCCGTCCATTTTCAGCGTCTGCTCGCACATGTGCTTTTTGTCAGGTCAGCCTCGTTATCGCTACGAACTTCAGCGCAGGCGTGAATAGAGTCTATTCTTCTCCTGTGTATCCGATAGGGCAGGCTGTACGCAGAATAAATAACACTATTTAGTATACCGCTGCAAAACAAATATATTAAACCTCATTTGAATAAAAAGAAAAAAAAATTATATCTATTTACTTACGAATGCATTTATTGGTTTCATTTAACATAAATTGTTCACAGCATTGGTGTTTATATTTTCTTTAAAAAAGAAATTCAATAATTAAAACTTAAAGCAAAACGTTTCTATTATTAATATTTGTGAAATAGTCATCTAAGCATTTATTATCTAAATGTGAAAGTGAACTCTAAGTCTTTTCAATTAAAAGAAACATATACCCAGTTGGTATGCAATTTTCCTCAGCTTTTGTGAACGTAACAGACAATGGTAAAACTACTAGAAAGTACTCGTAAAACTCCATTTCATTTGAAATATACATCATAATTAATTATTCCAAATTAAATAATTAATTTCCCTTTGTTTAACAAACGGAAATTGTCACAATCTTGTTTAATATACAAAGGCAAATGAAATGTTATATAATTATCATTTTAATTTTTTTGTTTCTGGTAATTGACTATGATTTACAGTTAAATGCAAAAAAGTGTGCTCTATCGAAAATACATTTTTTCTATGTTTATTCTTACCATACTGCACTCAATCTGCAACATTTCTACATGGAAAAAAGCATTTCATATCTTCATATGAACAGTCAATGTTTCTGTTTTATCTAACCAATCGATGTATGACAATGGCCATACTTTGTATCAAATCATTATAATAAGCCATTCCCTAAACATTTATGTAATAGAATCACTAGTATAAGCCATTTATACATGTAGGAAAGCTAAATCTTTTGAAACACGTATTATTTAATACGTGTGGATGACATTGCCAATAAGATGAACCTTTGCTTTATCCACGGAAAAGCGATTTGGAATATCTGCAATGCATTTTCTCCATGCAAATTGATCAACAAATATATTCTAGGTAAAAAACCAATAGATATCCAGGCATTCAGAGAATTTGTCATGATTTTTAGACTTATTTGGTATTTTTTAAATCTATTTCCGTCGTGTATTCTATAATGCATAGTGTAAAGGGCTTTTGCTATCATTGCAAGACACCACAAATCACTTCTCATTTCCATATCATGCTAATAAGCATTGGTATTTAAGGCTGGATTCAAGAAAATCTTATTTCTCCAATATCTGTATTAATTTTTTCTCCTTTAATTGGGTACAAATGACAACTTTCATAAGACCTTTTCTAAGCCTTGAATCTTATAAAGATGAATAAAATGAAAATTGCTGCATAAAAGTATCTAATTTTCAAGCTTCATTTTATATGCATTTCAAATTAAATATCAATACTTGGAGTCATCCTTCCTGGCTGATGACAAGATATCCTCAAATAAAAAATATAGTTTTACTTTTTAGAAGTTAAATTGACTCGATTTTCAGCTTCTTCCTACTGACTTTAGCTTAAACTGTTGTCAAAAATGCATATTTCAATTTAAAATATTAATAGATATGTGTGTTTAGAGGTCAAATTTTGCTCTGTGTCATTTTTTTTAGGATTGTTCGATAAACATTTGATATAAACAAATCGTTATCTTCATATTGCATTGGTTTTTATGCATTCGTGGAAAATTATTAAACTTGAGATTAATGCAAGACATAAGGTGAATATTTTATATATTAATCGGTGAAACTAAATTAACAATCAATAAGTTTTCGAAAACATATTGTCAGATAGAATGTAACACATTACAAGTTTTATATCATCGTCACAGATCTGCACGATTAAATCATGACGGTTGAATCTAAATTGGAGAAATTTTTGGCGATATTTCTTTTATTTCAATGTTTTTTTGCAGATGAAAAATGTACTAAACCCAACAATGAAAAAGAAATAGGGAAAAAATTACCAGTTTCTCCTTTTGCAGTGCTTAAGGAAATCGGGTTCCAATTATGTTTTAGAGAATGTGAGGCCTATGCTATGTGTTTGTCAATTAATTTCAACCAAAAGATGTTAATGTGTGAATTGAATAGCCAGAGAAAAAATGCGAGTTTATCGTTAGTAAATGATTATGACTTTATCTACAAGGAAATACCAGATATTGTAAGTAATTAGTTATACATATTCATCAGTACATGTACATACGCTATTTGTGCCGAATTGATAGACGTCTGTAGTTAATACACAAAAAATTAAAGTAGATTAAAATTTAAATGAACAGAAACGACCGAACAAGACCGAAAACACAGCTACAAGTGCATTCATCCTTTGCGTGAAATTTCAAATTTGAAACTAAATCTTTTCCAATCACGAGAGATACAATATACCTTGGTATTCTAGTTTGTTTAATATTGTGGTAGGAACTGTATTTGTGCAACATAAAGCATGTGACAATCTTAAAGTTATCACAGATTTTATATTAACCTATTCCTCTGTAATAAAAACCTGCATCCCTAGAGCATCGTTGATGTATAGTTTTTGTGAAATTTTGTGACTGTATCAGCTATTTCAACGGGAAGATTAAGATATATTGCTTTCACATTAATCTACAATTTACATACTACTAGACAATTTTTTTAAATTTAATTTATTCAATTCATATGTTATAAAATGTTAACAATAAATTGTTTAACCGATTTGACCTCATTGGTTATTACCATGAGTAATTAAGCAAAATCCTGCCAATAAATAATCAGGGCACTGTGAAAATCCATGAAAATTCAATATTTTATTCATTATTATCAATTTTAATTTTTGATTATTCCAATTTTGTCGAACTGTTTGATTTTTTTGTTGTTACAGGTTGATTACAGGGATAAGAAATGTGGAAAAGGTTCATGCAATCACTTATCCAAATGTGTTCGCATAAAATTAGACAATTATGTATGCATCGAATTAGCAGGTATTTTAATTGGAAAGAATATACAACTCTTCTATGATATATAGCTTATCTTTTTCCTGACCGTTATTATTCTTGCATTCATTTATGAAGATACAGTAAAATTTAAAATCTGTTGCATACATTTCATCTGTAAAAAAAATTGAATTCTTTTTTTTTAATCCACAATACCGATATGCATCGTCATTTTTTCTATTTTTAACGTATTCTTGGTAAATAATATAGTTTTGTTTCTCCAGTTAATGGAGAATGGAGTGCATGGAACCCTTGGGGAGGCTGTTCAGTGACATGTGGGGGTGGGAATAGATCACGAACTCGCACTTGTGATAATCCTACACCGAGATTTGGAGGTCAGCCCTGCAATGGACAGTCTTCAGACTTTTTATCCTGCAACACGTTTAACTGCCCTGGTATTTTCTCATATAATTGATACATGGGATTATTTATTACATCATTTAATAAATACTAAATAAATTTTCTAATTGGTAAATGGAAATGTGACAAGTTAACATATTTGTGATATTTTTGTACTACAAAATTGAAAGTTAATATGTCAACAAATACGTAAACTTTACACTCTTCGAACTAGTTATATACATGTTTATGAAACTAATATATATATTTTTAAAAAAAATAGGTTGCACCTTTCCTTTTGATTGTTACGAGATTCACAATAGTGGACAAAACAATACAGGCCTTTATTATATATGCCCTGCAAACAAAAGCCAAGAATCGGATGCAATTCAAGTTCTGTGTGACATGGATGCATATGGAGGGGGATGGACAGTAATTTATTTTATTTTATATTTTAAACTTAACCAGAGTATTTTACTTCTTACATATTTAAATTGTGATGAAGTCTGCATTATTTTGATAGACACGCTCTTTTGTTTATTATTACTGTTACGCAGCACTGTAAAGGCCTACAATAAAGAAATCAATGGAGTATATACGTGCAAATAAGGGAACTTTTTAAAACAGAGTTTATAAAAATAAACGTATTTTATTATAACATAACTTACACACTTATTTAAATAATATAGTATACCCCTCTCTGTACTGAATTAAAGCAATATGAGCTGCAACTTTGGTGTCAGAATTTTTTGTTGCAAAATTATTCATAACTATTTCAATGGCAGAAAAATAGCGTTGATAAACTTCTTTTGTTCGTATTTGCGATGGAAGTACTATTGAACCATTCGATTGAATCAAAATTATATTATTGTCATCCTATACAATGATGATTCCTTATGTAAAACTGTATATTGGATTGTATATAGAAAACATTCTTCTGCTTTATTTTAGTCAAATTGATCATAAAAGTTTAAGTTATATATAAATTTATTATAATAATACATTTAAATATAAAATTTTCAAAAACGCAGCTCATATTGCTTTAAGTTTGGTGCCATCAATGAACAGTCATGTGATAAATGCAAAGTATGTGTACCGCATGGAGGTCATAAAAAATTTCAATAGCGCAAGGGCATACCCTAGTTGAGGTTAAAAATTAAAGATACCAATTATTTCTGCATACTTTGTACTTTCTAGAAGATGCTGCTGCTTTATATAGAATTCGCATATTATTAGTTTAAATTTCAAGTAAATATGTTCATGCCAAAATATGTTTGACCTTTACCAAGTATTTAACAATTTAAAGAAATCAGCAGCACTTTTCAAGTTACGGAACATACCCTTTATTTATATTCAAAAAATGGCTAATATCTATTAAATGAATGCCCTTGCGAAATGGCGATTTAATAAGACACCTCGATGTTAATATACCAAACCTACACACATAAACACTGTAAAATTAATTAAATACATTCTCTTATTAATCATTAAATAATCACACTAAACAAATGTTTTACATTGGTATTAATAGCCTATTTCAAATCTGCAAATGATATTCTGCTTAATGATAAAATGCATTTTCACTGTAAAAAATATACCTGATCTGCTTTTTGCAGCACATAAAATACGTCTTTTTTACCAAAAGGACGTTGTGTCGTCAATTTTCTGCGATCAGTGTTTTGTTAATAAACTGTAGTCTAGGATTTAAATTTCAACTATTTTTATTGCATTGATAGGTTTTTATGTTGTTTACTATGCTAATACAATTTAAAATTGCAAAGTATTTGAATTTTTAGTATTGTGAGGAATACAAAATGTAGCAATTTTTGTGTGACGCCACAGTAAATATTTCCCGTATAAACTAGGCCCCGCCCCTTCTTCAAGCCTTAACAATGCTACATACGTTTTTCGTTAAAATCTTTTTGACACAATATTCTTTTTTTAATTTTAAAAAGACCCAAAAAATTGCTTTTATTAGGTCATTCAGCACAGGAATCGGGGATACACAGCGGTAAATTTCAACACCACTTGGAATGAATACAAACGAGGATTTGGTAATGTTGGAGGGAACTACTGGCTGGGTAGGATAATTGTAACATGTAGAAATAAATTATTCTTAAAACGTAAATTCTATATCAATTCTTTTATTATCAATTGTGATAAGTCTTCCCTAAATTATTATAAGAAACTTGGGTTTTCGTAGCAAAATGTTCGTTTAAAAACACGAGAAAAAGATACAATATGCATACAAAAATTAAATCATTTCAAAAGTTTAACTGCCAAAGACGAAAGCTATAAACAAGCCTTTCCTTAAAAAAGGCTGTAAATGCATATTTTATGGATAATTTACTGTTTTCAGAATAACAAAATACCCATGAGGTTTGTTTTAATTAATTTCTTAAAAGCTATTAAGAAAATATATATCACTGTGATGTCAATAATGAATGATGTTTGAAGGGAAAAAACCAAATGGAGAATCGTTCTATTGGGTATTCAAGGGCCTATATCTTTACATCTGTTTATGCCATCTACACGCGTTTGACAGTCTGTTATTAGAATAAATGCGAAATGACTTTTGATACGTTTTTGGTACAGACCTGATATTTCAAAATATTTAAAAAGAGTCTTTATTCAATGTAAAATATTCAACCTACTATTTCATCAAACATATTTAATCATTGAAGGTAGTGCACAATAAATAACCCATTTTTTCTGAAATTTAATTTTTGTTATGATATGTGGTCATTTATTTTCAAAAACAACATGTTTTTGTGCATCAATACAGTTCTGGTGCTATATCATAAGCAATGTCTTTTTGCCAAAAGAGCAGAATTTCTTAATTAGGAAATCCATTGTGTTAAAAAAGTTTAATGAGATCATTTTTCTAATTTAGGAAACGACGCCATTCATAGATTGACCACAAAATACAACAACTCACTGTACATCAGATTGAGAAATACACAAAATGTTTCATTTGAAGTTCAATATTCTGTTTTTTCTATCTCCAATGAAACTGACGGCTACAGACTCTCCTTAGGGGAAAAAACAGGAACCATTGGTATTTTATGTTTTCTTCTTATTATTTTTGTTAAATTTTTCATAATAGAAACGAGGTTTATCTTATCTCTTTTCAAAATATTATACATGTATAATGTCAAATTTAAAAAGTTTCAATACCATGAAATTGGTTATATATCCTAATGTTTGTTCTTTTAGGTGATGCATTTAGATCGCATTTGATCATCAGCTATCCCTTTTACACATTCGACAATGACAACTCTTGCGGGTGTGCTTTTTCTCGAAAATCTGGATGGTGGTATCAGTGTTGTAATCTCGTGAATCTAAATGCTCCTTTTTTTGAACAACATGTTGATCCTGTATGGAATGGATATATTTCGAGTGGCAATAATCTTTTCCTTTCGCAGATGTTGATCAGAAGAAAATTGTAAAAAAAAAATTAATTACGAAAGCAATCCGAGAATTACCTAAAGAAATAGACATACCTGTAGAATGTTTTTACTTCTTTTTCTATTTATTCATTCACATTCATGTCATATAATTACAAATATACATGTACAGATATTCATATGAAAGTCATTGGATAGCTAAATACTTATTGTGCGTTTAAAATATCAACATCATTTTTAATTTTATGCATAATGATCATCTTAATGAGACATTGACGTGTTTAAAATTAGGAATTATGCAACACTTTTCACTTTCTATGCCAGAAAAAAAAAACTATGCATTTCAAAGTAATTTGCAAGTTACAAAAAGACCAACTTATGCATAAGTTGCCTGTCTTTCGTCAATATAAAGCAAATATTGTCTACTCTTTTGAGTGTCAATCCAAGTCTCGTGTTGTCCATGTCATTCTAAGCAGATATTAAATTAAATTTCGGTAACAAAGTGAACCATATTAAAGTTCTAGAAATAAATCATTCCTTATGGTTTTAAAGGTTACTTCCTTATAGTTTTAAAGGTTACAATGTCTGGTAAAGTACCAACCAGACCCATCATGACAGAAAGCAGACCGAGGGACTGCTCTACTTCCCTACGTTGGTTAAGAGATTTTAGAGCAATCCCAGATGAGTCTCAATTAGCCCAACGGTTTCATCAAAGTCCCAGAAAGCATCCTTATATATATATACCTGTCAAGTGTGTGGGTTTAATAAATCTAATGGACAGAACTTAGTTCTAACTTAGATTGCTCATTGTATCAGCAATCAATGTCAGTAATATAAAGGCAGTTAATATTAATGATACACTTTTTTATTAGGAGAAAGTGTTATTTTGTAAAATGTTCAAGTAACATGTAGATCATATTTAACATTCTTATGAGACAATTATTTATGAATAGATAACAAAATTACCATGTATATAAATAAAATAACAGAAGAAAAAACCTTCATGTTAAATTATGGCACGTAGTGTATTAATTTCACACAAAATTAAACAATTTTGCTTTACTGATAATGGTTACAGTATCTATTTTCAACATGCTAAACAAAACAAAATTGCTTATTTTAGTATAGAACTGGATTCCTCCTTTGAAATAAATCCTGCGATTATATAAGCAAGAGCGATTTCCATATTACTCTGAATACGATTTTCATTTACAGCAAAGCTTAAGAAGATATATCATGAATCTGAAGACAGTTAATCCTTATCCATATTTTGCCTACTAGGATTATCTGGTTCTTATTTTCTTTTTTTTCTTTGATGATAGCTAAAAATTTAGCTTAATATCAATTACAGTTGATTTTTTTCTTTTCAGATAAAAGTATGACTTTGACAGATTAAGTGTTTAATTTACAGATTAATGTGTAAATTTTACAAAAAATTAAAAAGATTGTCCCATTTCATTATGCACAGTCACATTTCTTTAAAAGAAATGTACAATTGAACTTGTTCCGTTTTAAAATTGCCAGCTTAGAGTAGGGCGAAAGGGGCGAAAAAAAAAAGAAAAGCAAAAATGTCTCTATATACAGCACATTACATGTTAATCCCCATTTCATAACAATTCACTATCTTACGCATAATTATGTAAATTTCAAAGTGAAAGTTCCTTGAAACTATCAAAAATTACCAAAAGTGTGTATTGTATTCAATTATTTCTAAAAGTTCAATTACACGAAGTGCAATTTTCTATGATCATATTTTTGAAATGAAGATACGTATATACACTCAGCGTGTTGGATATCATTGAAATCAGTTAAAAGAAAATTACACCCCTTTCTTACCTTCTTTCACAGCAGATGGCCAAAGTGCCTCAAGTCAAAGGGGTTTTTAGAGTCCATGGACTCTACACAGGTCATATACACCATACAGATACAAGTATGATAGATGTGGTTCCTATATCCTCTTATAATTATGCCTTACCTTCAAGAATGAGCGACTTGAAATTGTCTACATTTTTTTACGATACGTGTGTAAAGATATATTATTCATGTTTTTATGATGTGAAGTGTATTTTCATTTGGTAGTTTAAATTTAGAATAGATTACCTGATTTTTTTTTAAGAGAAATATCATCACTCATGCTTTTATGATGTGAAGTGTATCACCTTGCTTTCGTAAAAGGCGACTAGTTTAAATTTAAACCGAGGCCCCGTGTCACAGCAGGTGTGGCACTTGATTTTTCAATGGCCCTTGCCGAATTTATTTGCAACCCTTCACCGGCAAAGGTGTTTTAAATATTCTGGAGAGAGACGTTAAACAATATACAATCAATCAGAAAACGACTGTCATCGTCATCTGTTCATAACAAAACACTTCAATAAATTGAGGAGAGGGGGATTAAGTCATTGTAGTTTTGCATTTCATATGTGTTATTTTATCGCAGAGCTAAAGAGAATATAATTTTCAAGGCTCAACACTTTGTATTTCTTTCAATCCAGGAAATATGAATATTCACAATATGATGTGTTAATTTGCATGATTTATTATTAAATTCAAAAATGAACTTTAGTACTTTTATTTCTTGTGTTGACTTTGTAAAGTTTACCTAAAATTATATCTTGAAAAGTACAGTTTTTCTATATCTTTAAATTAAACCTGCTGGTTTCCATCATATTATGATCTCAAGACTAACATGAAGCACACTATATGATTCATACGTATGATAAATTGTCGTAAATAATAAACTATACCATACGTTATGTTGATATGAAATAAATATCAGGTCTCTAACTTGCTAGTAAACTTATAAAGATATTTATTGATTGTATGTTGTTAACCTTCCTTTTGAGAATGTTTCACTCATATAGCAACTTTATCATTGTGCGATACCAGTGAATGGCCTTAAGAGCTGAACCGACTGTTTAGATTCAAAAAGGTGAAATATTCAATAATTATCTTAGTTAATATGATGCATTTACAAAATAATCTTCAATCAATTCATCTTTTCTACAAAAAAGCACAGTGTTGAAGAAAATACAACGGTTCATTGATCGGCTGAAAATGAAATTTTAGATGTATAATTTTCCAAACTTACCAAATTCTTACTTACCCCAATATATGTATATTTTAAAGTGACTTCCATATCAACCGTTTCTTAAAGTTGACCTTCATTGAATTTTATAACTTTCTTTGTTATTGCAGACAAAGCCAATAAAAAACAAAAAAAACCATCGGAAAGCTGACTTTCATTGAGGTATTGTCCTGAGCCGACACGTTGCCGTTGAACCCTTCAGTTGTCAAATTTCATTCAATTTTAGGGGTTAACCGAAGAGATATCCTCCAGTTAAAAAATAAAAAATCTTGTTTTTTCTCTCTCTTTGCCAATAAAGTGAAGTCATTCTATGACAAACCATTTGTAAAACAAGCATTTGAAGTGTCAACTTAATCCTTTCTGTTTACAAAATCTAATACTTATTGAAAGCTTTAGTCTGATTTGTGCTTCTTAATGAGGGAAGTAGGCCCTAAAATAAAATGTTTGACGCTGTTGATTTTGGTAAAATCTTGTGATTTCAAATTGTCCAAAAGTTCTTTAGAATTTTTTTTTTGTATCCACATCTGATTCAAACCACTTCTTGAATATATTGTTGCACAGTACTTTTGAGGTTTTTCGTTCACTACTGTCAATATCTTAGTCAGGAGTAACGATTGATTGATTGATTGTATACTGTTTAACGTCCCTCTCCAGAATATTTCACTGATATGGAGACGTCAGCATTGCCGGTGAAGGGCTGCAAAGTTAGGCCTATGCTCGGCACTTACGGCCTTTGAGCAGGGAGTGATCTTAATCGTGCCAAACCTGCTGTGACACGGAGCCTCGGTTTATACGGTCTCATCCGAAGGACCGCCCAATTTAGTCGCTTTTTACGACAAGCAAGGGGGTACTCAGGACCTACTCTAACCCGGATCCCCAAGGGGCGAGGAGTAACGAAACAGGCTTAATTGAACCTTTACCGGAACCCGCAGTGTACCTAAGGATTTTTATGAAGTTTTCGGATGCAATATATGAAGGGTAGTACAGATTCATTTTGGGCGAAATCGTGACTCCGTCACCATAAACCTCTACAATATGCAACATATAATAGACAATTTTAAACAAGTTATATTTTTCATACTCTTTACTTAATCAGTAAACATAAAAAAATGTTTTTAAGACTTCAAATAGTATTGAATTGCATTTTAAGAAAGGCGTCAGCGATAAAAACCAATAACGTTAATATAACGTATGCAGCATGGTCGTGCTTATTATCTAAAAGTGTAGTGCATTTTGGGAAATGAAAACAAAATCAAATATTTTCAGCCGTATTTTTCAGCCTTATTGAAGATGGTTAGTCATTTTGAACATTTGAGATAGATATTTTGACGTCTTCTTCTCTTTGGAGGTTTGAAAGAGTACAAATTATATGGACAAAATGCTATTTTAATACAAAAGACATTGTCACTGTAGGCGGTCGATATCAGATTGTCTATTTGTTGAATGATGGTGAGAATACTGTCCGTAACTTAATAATAAATCTTCAGGAGATCGCATGTATGTGTCGAATGGGTTCCTCTACTGTTTATGGAGACTCAAATATACGCACCAATGAAATTCCTCAAGTTGAGTAGGACTTATCCAACTTTGTTTTTAGCAAAGATGAAATATGACGCTGTTTTAGACACTTTGACGTTATCAGCCGTGCGCCGTAAGACGATACAATACATAACATAAAATCTCATTATTTGTTTATATAGTTATTTATCTACTTGAAATTTGATATGTATATTCATATTATATCTACTAAAAAGTAGTTAAATTTTCAGAACGCAGGGATGATTTTTTTCGAACTAGACAACTTGTCCACGACTTTACCAGGCAACCCTCGTAGTCTCGTTTAAAAGTTCTATAGTCGTTATAACGACCTTGTCAGCAAATACAACTTATCACTGAGTCAACAGGTTATCAAGGTCGTCACCTTGTGTTGCACCTTCAGCAGAAATATTGTTTTGCAATTTGTGTGTGATGAATTGCCAGGAATTTATCGCCACTGTTCATACTCAGTCCTTGTCGGGAAATATCGCAATTTGTTTGAATTGTTAGCAAATCGCGACTGTTCATACTCGCGGAAAAAAACAAAATAAACTATTTTTGGTAAAGTGTTTT